TAGCCCAAACCCCGCATTAAAGTAAGGGCTGCGCTTGAAAGCAAGTGCCTTCAGCACTCTTGAGAGCTCAGCAGAAACACTTTAAGAACATACTTGTCGCCGAAGAAGTCATGGAGAAACGACTTTGCTGCAGATGCTGGTCCCGGACTTACAGCTTGGACGGCCGCGACTGGCTGAGCAGCGTCTGGGGAACTTATGCTGTTCAGTATGTTCAAGCTGCCTTTTCCCTTCGGTAGTCCGTCCGCCATAAAGCCAGTTAGGTGGTTACAAACTTCTCAATAGGATGTCAAGAAAGAAAGCGCGTCTAACGGGATAATGGTGACATGACAAGACGGGAATGATGCTTGACGCAGATCATCGACGGCCTGAGACGAAAAATCAGGTAGAAGGTGAAAATCCTGGGTTCATAAACCAAGACAGCACTTAGAAGATGTCAATTCCAGGCGTGAAACGTATGCGTGTGGTACATGTATTGTAAGTATGTATGAAAACAGGTGGTGTATTTAATCAGCTTCGCGGCGGTCCCGGGGGAGCATACATGGCACATGCACGAGAGGTAGGGGGAAAGGGGGAAATCGCAACACAACGGAACACATTACAGGTCATCGTCTTCTTCGGGGAGAGGAATGGCCTCGGCCTATAGTAGGAAAGTTAGTAAAAGTGATGAGTGAGAGGTAAGGATAAGTGCGTACAACGGCCAGATCCCTCTGGTATTGCTCCATCAGGTTATGGTCAATCTCAACTTCGGCAGGAGCAAGGGCAGGCGCAGCGACGAACTCAAGGGTGGCGTTACTGCGAAGCTAGGTCAAAGAAAGGCAAACAGAATATTATTGACCATTTTTAGCGTACCCAACGAGCTTCCTCGCCAGCCAGAGGAATGGCTTTTCGAAGTTGTAGTTTGACTTCGCAGAGATCTCGAAGTACTGGAGATTCTTCTTCCGGTGGAAGGTGACGCCGGCGGTCTTGACTTTTCGTTCCTATTTATTTTTGCGAAATAATGACAGAAATTAGCAAACCCAATTAAAAATGCCAATCCAAAAATCTACGCACTTTCACGTCGACCTTGTTGCCGCAGAGCACAATCGGGATGTTCTCGCACACGCGCTCGAGATCACGGAACCAGTTGGGTACGTTCTTGTATGTGATGCGGGCGGTGACGTCGAACATGATGATGCCACACTGGCCCTGAATATAGTACCCGTCACGTAGTCCACCAAATTTCTCCTGGCCCGCAGTGTCCCATACGTTGAAGAGGATCGTGCCAAAGTTGGTCGAGAACTGCAGGGGGTGCACTTCCACACCAAGCGTCGCTGGAGAAACAAAAGCGAAAAGCGCGTCGGTGTTAGCAACAACGGTGTTGCGAGACTGCCCTTAGAACGACATAATGATTGCGAGGCTCGTACCAATGTACTTTTTCTCGAATTCTCCCGTCAAATGACGCTGTTAATTGAAAGATCAACTCGCGATCATACTTGATAGATAGAGCGCGAAGTGAAACATACCTTGACAAACGTCGTCTTGCCGGTACCACCGTCTCCAACTGCCATCCAAACGGTTCAGTACGCGCAATCCAACACCAGGAGTCAAGCGAGAGGCAAATAAACGCGATCGTGCACGCGATCATAGCATATGTGGAAGCATTTTTGAAAGTTTTGGGAAGAAATGAGGTCGACGCGTATCAGGAATGAAGATGGTGCACATACCGAGAACAAGCTTGAATGTAGGAATTGTCACCTGCTCGGCCATAGTCGTCTATTCGCGAAGATATAAGAGATGAAAAAAGAGGTGGTGAACAGGTAAGGAGATGCTACACGATACCAACCGCTGAAAACTGCTCCCTTTGACTTTCCTGGGGTGTCACGTCCAGTCACACAACACAACACACAGCCCTGAGCCCATCAGCCAACGAAAGAACGAGAAAAGACTGCGTAGAACAGCTGTAGATAATCATATCTGTTGGAGCCGCACGTCGACTCACTACCAGAATCTCGATACATTCGGGAAAATAATATCCTCAGAACAGAAAAGAACATAAGTTTTCATTTTTTAAATCTTTTTTCAAGCTGCCGTCACATGCTTCCGCTGCCGACAGCGCCTGGTGAAGGTCGTACATACTATGACTCAGAGTCAAAGGGCGATATATTTATGCTCGGCAAAATTTCGCAGCCAAGTATTGAAGGGAGATTCCGCACTTCAAGTTAAGCGGAAGGCGTCATCCTGACACATTTCATACTAGTTCCGATGCCAGTATTTTTTATTGGTCAATGGAGTTCTGAGTGTTGTGGTGAGACAGATAATGGTTTAAGGGCCCGGCTGCTGTCGGGAAAAAATCGGTAGCTAGAAAAGTCGCGACCAAGAGGAAAGCAAGACACGTTCGCATACACAATGTGCTTGTTAACTTCAATCCGGAGGTAGGTTCATTCATTGAGATGGGGAATTTGAATAGATTATGTGCAAAAAATAGAGTAAATCTAGGAGGACTGACTCTTCAGCTCGCATCCTCAAAGTGAAAGAAATGCAGACATACTTAGGCACCGGCCCGAATCCCGCAAAGCCTATCGCCATCTCTCTATCCTGTTAAACTTCCTCGCATTCTTCGCATTGTTTTGCGTGTTCTGGCCTCTGACCGGCAGACCCATTGCGTGCCTCCTCCCGACGTAGCTTCCAATCATACGCTGGTGCGCAATATTATCGCGCACCTCACGCTTCAGCTCGGCCTCGACACGCAGCTTGAGTAGAGGATCCTTTCTGTTCACCTGAAGCGTCGCCGCGCTAAGAACAGGCGTCGTCGGGGGCGGAACGTAGTTCGGGGCGGCGAGCGGGAAGCGGGGGATCGGCGCGGACGATTGGGGGGCGGAAAGGAAGGACGCAAGTCCAGTGATTTGGATCGGGGTGAGGTTACGAACGCGCTGCGTGTTGTGAATCTGCAAGCGCGCACAGAGGCGTTGTGCGGTCTTCTCGCCGATGCCGTAGAAGGCGCACAAAGCGATCTGCAGTATAACTCAGACTTTTACGCTTCAATCTTTGAAGACGAAAGAGACATACTCTGGCTAGCTTTTTGTCTGGAAGCTGCACACCGAGAACAAATACCATCGTCTTGACTTCAACGTCAGGCTTGAGGCCGATTTCGACACTCGGAGAGAGGCCCGTGACGAACTGTTACGATGGTCACACCGCCTAAGCACTTCATTGCAGATCTTCTGCCAGTGCTTGCCTCTCACTCTCACTTGTTGCACCACACATTTTTACAATGGCTACGAGTCAATCTGAAGGTCGCCGCGAAGACGCGTTCGCGAAAGAGCGTACACGCATGCGCGAGGACTACGAGCGCCAGAAGGAGAAGCTCATCAGCGAGACGGAGAAGTCGCGCCCGTCCACGGCACGCTTCGTCGGGCAGAATGATTCCATGGAGGACTCGCTCAAGAAGACTACCGTCGGCCTCGTCCGACTCGAGGACTTCCAACAGCGCCGGCGCGAGCTTGAGGAAGCCAAGGCGCGCGAGGCGGCCAAGACAGACGATCTCAAGTATGTTTGATCATGTTCACTTTCCTTGCTCTACCAATAGTGGGTACGGGTGGCTTACAGAACGTGGAGGTGCGTTTAGGGATGACCAGAAGAAGGTGAAAAAGCGGAAACGCGCCCCGAAAGCTACGTTGTCTTTTGCCGTGGACGACGAGGAAGGTGACGGTTCAACGTCCTCTGGGACGCCCAACGGCGACGACTCCGAGGCCAATGCGAAGAAAACGAGGCTTCGCAAGAATCCCAACGTAGACACGTCTTTCCTACCTGACAGAGAGCGGGAGGAGACGGAGAGGCGGGACCGTGAGGAACTTCGCAAGAATTGGCTGAAGAGGCAAGAAGAGCTCAAGAAGGAGGACATTGAGATCACGTATTCTTACTGGGACGGAAGCGGCCACCGGAAATCTGTCTCGGTACGTTGGTCATGGGCTTTGAATTGGGAGGCAAGACTTACTGTGGATATCCTAGTGCAAGAAGGGAGACAGTATCAGCGCCTTCCTAGAGAAGTGTCGCCAACAATTCCCCGAGCTTCGGGGAGTTAGCGTCGATAACCTCATGTATGTCAAAGTATGTCGACTTACTCCTCTCTTTGCTGTTCGGCCAACTCACTGTTATATTTCTCATCTGTAGGAAGACCTCATCATACCACACGTTCGTATCGCGCCTTTCTCTCGCATAGCACACTATGCTTATTAAAGACCTTTATTACACAGCACCACACGTTCTACGACTTCATCATCAACAAGGCTCGTGGCAAGTCCGGCCCGTTGTTCAATTTCGACGTGCACGACGACATCCGCTTGCTCGCGGACGCGACAGTCGAGAAGGACGAGTCACACGCAGGGAAGGTCGTCGAACGCAGTTGGTACCAGCGGAACAAACATATCTTCCCTGCGTCTCGGTGGGAGGTACGTCAGCCCGTTGCGCGGTTGACTAGCAAACTGAAAACTCACTGCTACCGACAGGTATTTGACCCGGAGAAGAACTATGGGAAGTATACTATTGCGGGAAAGTAAGGCCGTTAGCCTTTTGTATTTCTCTGTCGGCGACTTTATAATGTTTATCCTGATACAATGTCTGATTCTTGTGGCTATCTGGGCATTTATGCCTTAATGCGATATGATGTAAACCCCGTGTCTGTGACCGTGCTCAAGGATACTTGAAACCGCCTTTGACTGCATCTGACTCTTAAGAGCACAAGTCGAAAGCCTATGGCCTAAGAGGCATGCATGCGAGTCGTTTCTGACACTGTCAGCCAAAACAAAATTTATGAGAAATCAGTTGACAGGTCAGGTTGCGAAGTTCATACATTTCACTCCAGACCAAGCCTCCCATTCAAGCCCTGCTTCCCTCAAACCCGGAGACACTCACAAACCTCAACACAACTTCCACCTCACATAACTCGCTCGAAAAGATTCGTAGAAAAGGTTGCAAAATGACCACATACCTAGGAAAGTAATTTTGAGGACAAAAAAACAAATGGGCCTGACTGGGAATTGAACCCAGGACCTCCTCGATTGATTATGTAATGTAATACATAAGCCCTAACAAGGAATCATACTACTAGACCATCAGGCCATAAAATTCTAGTAGTTTAGAGTATACTTAGAATGATTAGATTATCAAGAACTATGGTGATCACAAACTTACCCTGCCAAATATTTAACTCTGCAGGGAAATCAAGATAGTCAGGAGTACAACTGGGAGTAAATTTTGGGCTGCAGGAGTAAGTGCCTATACAACTTTGTCACTTTGATGAAGGGATTCCGAACATAAAATTCAGAATACAATGTCCAGCAACACATCACAGAACCTGTACTACAACTCCCAGATTGCCCTTGCTTTCCTCTCTGATTCTCTTCAATTCATCTGACAACTGACTTGCATCTGGTCTTTCCAGGGGGTTAAACACCCAGCACATTTTGCAAAGCTCCCATAACTTCCTGTCAATGACCTCCCAATTTTCTAGCCCCTCAGGCTTGGATGGCATAGTTTTTGCATGTATGGCAAACATAACCTTTGCATCGGATTTAAGCTTTGCATAGGGAACTTGTTTGGTCAACAACTCCTTTGAAAAGATCAGTCAGTGCTTACTACTAGCAATATAACCAAAGCACTCATGGACTCACAAGAGCTGTCATCCCAAATGCCCAGACATCAGATTGTTTGGTGTGAACCTCATAATCGCTTTCAACACTCCCAGCAGCTCCACCATCCTCAGCCTCAGCAGCATTTGCTGTATCCAGTAATAGTAGCTCAGGGGCCATCCATCTGGTAGTCCCATTTGTTGCACCAGTTGCTGTCTCCATTGTTGAGGTTGAAATCAGAAGATGTGATAACCCAAAATCCATGAGTAATGGGCATCCATCAGGTGAGATTAAGATATTGGCCTGCATTATGAAACAAAAAAGAAATGTGTGAGCGGAAATTTTTATGAAACCAGACAGTTGTTTAGTAGAGTCGTGAAATGTACTTGCAGCTTTCATATCCCCATGCACCACTCCCATGGAGTGTAAATAGCAAAGACCATTTAAAATGCCTTCAATCTGGTATGATGAAGGAAGAGTCAGTTGGAAGACCCATGGTAGTCAAACCCGAAGTTTACTCGTCACCATTTGTAAATTATTTATATCCACGCTCTTTCGCAGCATATATTGTGCCATTGATCCATTTCCCATCCAATCTGTGACCAGAGATGGGACGAGCCTGAACGGATTTTCTACTCTTTCTATCACAAAACCTCTAAGTGGAAGTACATTGGGATGACGGAGCTTAGACCAGATCCTAAGCTCTCTTGTCACGCGCTGGTGAATTAGATCAATATTCACATATTTTACTCGTCAACAAATGCTAGAACATACTTTGTTAAAAATATGTTCACCCTGCATGAAAAAGCGTAGTCGTTTGATAGCAACTCGAGTGCCATGAGAGTCGGACCCCAAGAATACGTCCGAATATCCACCACCTCCGCACCATTGGCGTCCCTCTTGTATTTTCTCGGTCAAATCAAGTTCTTTGAGTTTCAAGAGAAGCTGCTCTAAAACCTCCTTACGAGCTTCAAATAGTGCGCAAAATGTTAAAATTAGTGCAAGTGTCAATCGCCAAGTATGCTCACTCCTCTCAAGGGTATCACCGTTATCGGATATATCTTCGTCTAGGTAAATGACGCTGGTGTCCGTCGACTCCTGCACGTTTTGATTTACGCCTGGATCGGATAAATGTCAACACAGAAAAGTGAGAACAAATGCGAGAAATGTAAAGCGAACGCAATAAATCAATTTCTTCACTGGTCACCAAAGAAACAAGCTGTGTACTCGGAAAATGACGGGCAGTATCATCGAGCATGATACTCTGCCCTTTAACCTTGACATATTTAAAAGAAAGTGAGAATATTTTCAGATGCGGTAAAGCGTTGAAATACCTCCTGTTTATCATGCGCCTCATGTGGTGTGTCATGCTCGGTTGCGTCACGCCCGGTAGCCACCCAGGAAGGAATTTTAGGACGGTAGAGAGCGGGTATCGGAACCGGTTCCGCGGTTGGCGGCGAAGAAATGGGACTTGCGGGGCTCGTAGTGCTCGACCCATTTTCCGCGTAGTCTAATAAAACAGTGTCAGAGGAACGTAAAGACAGTATCAAATCCAAAAAGACCGTATGCGAGTCTGCCCGCTTCAAATTTTTCGGGGACTCACTTGGTTCGACGCTGTGGTTGTGGCTCATCTGGTTCTGGAGATCCGCCCTCCTGTCGCGGCATGGGGAGTGCATGTGCAACGCGTGCTGGTGCGGGGGCGTGGAAAGCCCGCTGACAATGTCGCCAGGCAGGTCGATACCACGTGGGGACGTCGGCGAGCTCGGGTGACTGACTGAAATCACATTTCGGGAGTTGTACATACATTCCACCATCACTGGGACCCTATAGTGTACAATCGCATTGCTATCATCACCGACGATATCGGTACCGAACTCCTGTAACTCGTTAGAATGAACAAATGCTATTAGGAAATAAATGGCACGTACGACTATATCGTGCGTCTTAAGTTCGCATGGCCCTGACGCAGTACCCTCTGCGGACAGACGTACGCCGTTAACAACCGTGCCGTTCGAGCTCCCAACGTCCCTTATGAAGATCTTGCCGTTCTCCTCCCAGACCTCAGCGTGCTGGCGACTAACCGACTTCTGGTTAAAATAGCCGTTAGACCAGCTAGCGACAGTGTCTGGATTCGAGGTGTTTTCTCGACCAATCTCTATGCGCTGGTGCTCGGGGAGGCTGATATGCTTAGGGCCGCCGAAGGAGTCGCTGAGTGGTTTGAAAATGATGCTAGGGCCGAAGAACGATGGGAAGTCGTCTGGCAAGGTCGTTACTGGATCAGTGAGGGATCGGAGTGTATGTGACCGATATCTTTGGTAGGAAACCTGACGGTCACCAGGGGAGGCCAAGAAGGAGTCTCCTGTCTGTGCCGTAGAGCTAAGACGTGATTCTTCTTCGAGCGTGTTTTTCAATCGGATTTCCGCGTTACGCGCATAGACCTGAGGGGCGCGTGTGTCTTCGGGTGAGAGAATACATGCTACCTTCGCGACGATTGCGTGGTGCAGGATATTTGTTTCCTTGTCAAGGATGTCGCCGCCGAAGGCCTGTCGTACTAGCTCATGAAGAAGAGCTGCTGAATGGATTAGAGACAGGACGTACGACGACATCATCCGTCGCGAGCTCGAACGCTCTCGACAGTACACGCGACGCAGACAGACGGTCACCGTTCAGGTACGTGCCATTCGCGCTCCTGAGGTCCCGAACGTATATCTTCCCGTTCTCTTCCCAGACCTCGGCGTGTGTGCCACTGATCACTGGTGTCTGGAAGTAGCCATTGCTCTCGCTGGGAAACGTCCGCGCCCTGGGACTCACTTCAGCGGGATCATCAGAACGGCGGATCCGTACGCGTTTGTTGTCGCCGAGATAGATGTACTTGTATCTGAAAGAGTCGTTGAGCGGGTAGAGGCAGAGGGCAGGGAACAGAGGCAAGTTCGTGTCCGGGTCCATCTTCAAGGTGAACGGCTCCCTGTACACACTATCTATACATATATGATCATTTACAATGCTTCCTGGATAGCCTTGTATACACGGCCACGAGTATAGGTATAGGTATACATACAAATACTTTCCCGACTTGGTTCCTGTGAAGCAACACCGGTTGATTTCCTCTGCCGAATCAAATCCTCGGTTCGGGGAATAGATACCATATATTTCATCGTCATGGGTCGTGAATAGGCGAATCGAGGAGCGGACCACACATACGGATACTATACAGCGACATAAACACAGCGAAGAAGTAAAAAAAGAGACACAAAGTATGGCGAGCGCAAGACGAGGACAAAGAGGACAGAAAAGAGCAAGAGAAAGACGAAAAGAAAAAGGAAAGGAGGCGAACGAGAAATATTTATCCAGCCAATATCTTATGCGAGCAAAGCGATCCGTAGACGAGGGCATGTGTTGGATTCGGGGTTTGATTGAAAGGAGCGTGCAGAGCGCGATCCAGACAGAGGGACGCAGATGGGAAGAGGACGAAAGGAAAGTGAAATGGGCACGCCATGAGATATTGAAGGGTATCGAGTAGTGTAGCGTATGAATAAAAATGAGATTGAAAGCGAGCGCTGCATTTGCTTCTGTCCAGTACGTTTTATCATTACCTTTTTCTTTTTATTTGCCAATAGCCCGACGAGTTTTACTCTTTCACACGCCAAAGAACAGCGGCTGTAGCAAAACCCAAGACGAAGACTCCGAGTGCAGCTTGATAATTTAATACAGGTCGCTGCAAGAGGGGGAACGAAACCGGTCATTAGAGGATACGTAAAGGCAGAACCGGGGCGGGACATACCTGTTCTTGCTGCACACCTTCGCAATGGCCCGCGCCGCATTGTCGACATGGATCGACGATTCCGGAGTTGGAGGAAAGCGCGAAAATTTTGCCATGTCTAGACTTATAACAGCCGATTCGGGTTCTGTGCACCTCTGCACGTCGTTTGGCGAGTCCGTCGACGAGCGGCGCGAGTGCAAACTGGCGACGGATGATTCCGTACCCGGTGCACTGCTCATGCCATCCACAAGTGTCGCACTCGTTGACGTCGCCGGGCTGCGCGAACGGGAGGCCTTGTTCGTGCGCCCGCGGTAAGCACGCGAGCCCGGTGAGCGCGAGCGCTTGCGACCCTTAACGCCGCTTTTCCTAGGATGGTCAGAATCGGAGTCCGCGTCCGAAAGACTCCTCGGTGGTGAAGGGGGCGTGACGAGCCCACCCGTATGTTTGGTAGGCACGATGTGGCCATTAGTCTTCATATTTGAGAGCTGGGTGTTGACGCTCGCCAACCCGAGCTCGAATTTGCCCGAGGCATTCGCAACGCCATCCTCAATACCCTTCACGCGGCTCTCCCACTCCCCGCGCGCCTTCTCCATCCGTTCGCGTTCCGCCACCCAATCGCACTTTACGCTGTCCCACCGGTCCTCAATTGTTTTGCGGAATTCCGCAAACATCGAGACCATGGACTCCTGCTGAGCCTTCTCACGCTCCTCCACCTTCTCCGCGTGTTTTGC